ACACCATACCTTTGTAAACCCATTAATACTATAAAAACACAAAAAGGTGAATCTATGTTGTTTGTTTTATGATAACTATTTTGTTTTCTAAGACTTCACAATCAGTGTCAGTTTGATAATACTTTCTAGAAATCTGCTAGGGATAGACATAAAGTTTGTTATTTTATGTTCTTCAGAATTTAATTTCTACTGACTTTGTTCTTCAACACAATGGAAATAGCTGGCTATTGTTTTCTACATGCCCCTTTTCCTTTTGAAATCATACTTTTAACTGGAAGAAGATATAAAAATATCCCCTGTCCCCATCCAAATTTTTCTGTTCCTACTCAGGACTACTTCTCAAAAAGTTTCGATAAAATAAATATTATCTCTCTGTGGTATTAATTGTATTACCTCATATAAAACTGTTGTGTTTCCATGTATAAGAGGTCCATAACAGATATAGGAATGTCCAACAACCCAGCCCAAGTCAGAAGCTGCCCACCACACCTAAAAAATAAAAAGATAATAAAAATGAATATATCTTAATCAAAGAAATGTCATGCAATATAAATTGAAAGTCATGATTACCTCTCCAGGTTTAAGTCCATATATAGAGGACATTGTCCAGTTTAGCATCACAGCATACCCCCCGGTGGGCCTAACCACACCCTAAAGAAGAGAAAAAGTGAAGTTAAAAGCAATAAACAATGTGTGAAAAGATTCTCTATGTTCAAACTATCTATTTTAAAAGTTCCTTGTTTAATGCATTTTATACTCTATAAGCTACAAATTACTTTGACTTTTATACAGTTATCTTTGAATCATTATTTCTTTGGCTCCTCCAATAGTCAACACAAAAGAATTTGTCCCTATTACTACCATGTGTAGAATCCATTCTCACATACAATTCTAGACCTTCTAAAGAAAACTTATGATTTCACAAAATCACATGAAATAAAAATTTTTCCAGTCATAACACACACTGTCAACTCCACATTTTCAGATGAATTTCTAGAAAAAAAATAGAAACTATCAAAATTAAGTGCACAGAAGGGTAAAATGTAGTTATGTGCCTCAAATACATACTCACCTAAGGATATATATTCTTTAATATGATCAAATAATAACAGGCTATTTAGTGGAAAGAAAGTCATATTCTAAGTGGAGTCTGATTAAAATGCTTCACCTGGTATCATGCAAGCACAATATTAGAGCTGAATAACTCTTTAATGATGAATTTGGGAACTCTTTGGAATGAATACCAAAAAGTTAAATCTAAGGCTAACAGATTTGCCCTACATTGCATTTGGGCAGAAGCGGGGATTGTTACATCATTGTAGTACAGCTTTTACAAATCAGTTTCAAGTAGCTATTTTCAACATTGGAAACATATGCAACTCAATACAAGATTAATATTTAAATACAAGAGTCACCATAATTAAGAACTGATGGTAAATTTAAGTTCATTTATTGCTTCATTATAAACATTAATCATTATTGGCTCAATATGGACATAACCATGTGAATATTCAGAATGAGCGGGTGAATGCCTGCTAAGAAATACAAAGTATGTTCCAATCGTGTATTTTGAAGCATCTTTTAGTATAGCAGTTAAAACTGTTCTATGCGAAAAATAATTGTTTTACATAAAAGGGCAAACATGGATCTGATTAATAACTGTGCTGTTAGTTGTACTGTTTTGGCAGAGCTCTGCAGCTTTAACACACATACATGAATCGGGAATGAAAAAGAAATTGACTTCCTGTTAGTTACTAAAATTGCTGTTCTCCTCAGGTACCACTAATAAAACCTAGGTATCAAGCTGTGGAACATATTTTATCTACCAGCGACAACACCATGTCTCTTAGCAAATATCAGACGCAGCTTTGTTGGCATTTGAGAGCTGTTTTCCGGGTTGTATGACATGGTTAGCATGCAGCTGGCTGTCTTGATCACTTTGGGAATATTAGCAATCCTAAGCCACCTGCCAGTAGGCTTCACGCATGCACTTTTCTGCATAAACTGAGCAGATATTTTCCCACTATTTTGTATCTTGTCTTCCATGCACTTTGTCTTATTGAGGTCTTTTCTATGGCTCAGTAGCTTGATGAATTTGATGTTAATCAATATGCGAGCACTCTTTTTAAAAATGCATACTCATTTTTGCAAAGTAGAAAAAATACATTTTTTAATAGACAGTATGCTGTCTATATGTTATAGTGGACAGTGATGCTTAATGTCAGTAATGATTTCATTTGTTTTAAAATTTTCTCTTCATCCTACGTGTCCCTGCATTTGGATATTTTTATCCATAACTCTAAATATTATTATAACTGAGTAAATTTATAGATTATATGATACAGAGGGTAAGATGCATCGACCGGAAATGATGGCAAGAAATAAAAGGCTAGGGGAGACATAACTGCGTAGTAATTCAATTGTAAAACCTAGAAGATAAATTCGAAGGCTATATTATCAAATTTCTATGTATCACTCGGACACTTTTTCAAAGGACATTTACCAATGTGACTTTGTCTGATAAATTAGTGGATACTTAAACCCATCCGAGCAAAAAAGGTAAAACTTAAAAATGAGATTATGCATGAAAAAGCATTTAACATTATAAAGGTTAAAATTTAATATCTTATTAACACTATTATTTCCTTAGTTCTCACAATTACTGCCTTTTATTTTACCCCCTGATGATATTGCCCAAAAAGCATAAATGTCAAAACAATTAGAGGTTACCATCAAAGATTCTCATTAAAAACAATTAAAATGAAGCTGAAGGAGAGAGAAAAGCCATAATTTCTGTCTTTTATTGGTCTTTGATACCCACTTTTATTTTCTAAAGAATGAGTATAAACATTTTAGTCAAGTGTCATTTTACCATTTATTAATCTAGACTCTATGTCTACAATTTGGTCTTCCCTCTGAGAATGTTCAGATGATACAGTTTTGAAATTTCTAAGTATGTGATATAGTGTAGAAAAAAGAACTGCAGTTTCACATACTCTAGGTACATCTTTTCTAAGAAGTTTGAAAGTAAAAACAAAAAGAAAGAT